AAATGGTCAATGTTCAATCATTTCAAGAGGTAGCATATGTTCAAGAGCCAATGATCCTGAATGAAGAAGTCCAAGGCAAAGAATATGATTTATGGAATACAAATTGAAATCCTTCAACAAACTGATTTAGCACTGGAAGCACTCACCCATCTATGCCAAGGAATTTTGAAGACAGCTCCATGACCAACTGTTTTAAAGAGATTCATATTTGTACTCATTCCAAAAAGAGGTGATCCCAATGTAATATGGATAATATTATTAATATCACATGCAAGTAAATTTTGCTAAAGATAATTTTTTAAATGATTGCTACAATACAGTGACAGGCAACTGCCAAAGTCTCAAGCGTGTTTTAGACAAGGACATGGCATGATGGATATCATTGCTGATGTCTGATAGATCTTGACTAAAAGCAGGGACCTGAAATATGTTTGCTTGTGCCTTATTGACTATGCAAAGTCTTTTGACTGTGTAGAACATGACAAGCTATGAACAACATTGCAGTGAAAGGGTGTTCAAGAACACTTTAATGCACCCATGATGAATCTGAACATAGACCAACAGGCCATTGTTTGAACAGAACAAGGGGGCATTGAATGATTAAATATCAGGAAAGGTGTGTACCAGGATTGTATACCTTCATCATATTAATTCAATCTGTTTTCTGAGATAATCATCTGGAAAGCTATATTATATGGAGAAAAATGTGGCATCAGGATTGGAGGAAGACTCATTTAAAACTTGCAATATGCAGATGATACAATCTTGCTTCCTGAATGTGAGGAGGACTTAAATAGTTACTGATCGAGATTATTAAAGATCATATCCTTCATTATGGGTTGCACCTCAATATAAAGGAAGTAAAAATCTTCACCACTGGACCAATAAATGACATCATAATAAATGGAGGAAATATTGACATTCTCAAAGACTTTATTTTATTTGGATCCACTATCAAAGCTCATGGAAACAACAGTAAAAAAAAAAAAAAAAAATCAAAGGATGTATTATGTGGTGCTGTGGTTTAATGTACTGGACTACAAAGTTGGTTTGAACTGCAAGGTTGGAGGTTCAAACTCACCAGTTGCTCCATGGAAACCCTATACAGGGCTGCTATCAATAAACTGACTTGAAGGCACTTAAAAACAGCAACATTGCATTAACCAAATCTGCTGCACAAGATCTTTTTAAAAGGTTCAAGAATAAAGATGTCAGTTTGAGAACCAAGGGGTGCCTAACCTGAGCCATTGCATTTACTATAGCTTCATATGCACTTGAAAGTTGGACAGTGAATTAGAAAGACATTAGAAGAACTGATACATTTGAATTATAATATTTGATAAGAATATATAACATACCATGGACAGCCTGAAAAAGAAATTTGCACTGGAAGAATTATAGCCAGAATGTTACTAAGAAGCCAAGATGTCACGAGATCCTCTCTCAAACTTCAGATATATTATCAGAAGGAACCAATCCCTGGAAAAAGACATCAAGCTTGGTAAAGGGGAAAGCTGTCACAAAAGAAGTAGTTACCCAATGATGTGGATTGGCATAGTGGCAGCAACAATGGGTCAAGTGTAAGAATTAGTGTGAGAATGTCACAGGGTGAGGTCATTATGAATTGAAATAGACTTCAGGGCTCCTAACAACAGCAACAATCATGAAGTTGAAATATCAATTTTTCCTTAGAAAAGTTTTCTGGTTCTGCATTTTGATCACTGTCTGAGCCATTCTGCCTCATTTCTTCATTTGAATTCAAGTTATCTGTTGTCACTGAGACATTGTGGTGTCCTTCAAGTTATATTTAATTGATTATTATTTGTGTATTCTTAGGTCCTTAATACTTGCTGGTGGGTTTGATAGAGAATGTAAGTTTATGCAAGTTTTTATGTTCATTGCTGTGTTATGCAGTTTAGGAAGAGTTTTTCTGGTATTGGCTGCTGTCTGCTATGGATCAGGTGGTAGAGGACCTAGAAGTGACCCTCACCTAGTGGCTGGGGCTGCGGGTGATATGGGTGTGTTTGGACTGTATGAGTATGGTTGCTGTCTCTTATTGGGTGGGTCAATAAAAACAGAAACAGGAAAAAAAAAGGAACAAGCAACAACAAAAAGAAAATGAGGAAGCAAACAGTAGGCAACAGCAAGAAAGTATATAATACCTAAAAATAGAAAAGAAGGGAAAAGAAAATAAAAACAGAAGAGAAAATTAAGAGAGAAGATTTAAAGAAAGAAGAAAAATCACAATACAAAACTAGGGAGGGACAAAAATAAAAGAGAAAAAAAAATAGTAAAGGAAAAGAAAGAGCAAGGTAATGAGGGGTAGAGAAAAATCAACAGGAACAGAAGAAGAAGAAAAAAAAAAAGTAACAGACAAAAATAAGGGAAGAAACAGAGAGAAGAATTAATCTGAGGAAGTCACCAGACTAAGAACGAAGAAAGCTGTGGGAGCCAGGGCAGCCAGTTAGGATTGGCACCCTCTGTCAGCCAAGTTTTTCACAGGTTGGTGGAGAGACGTAACAAGGTTGAGCTTTTTTTGATAGTTTTTTGAGTCTAGTTGTTGTCCAGGTACCTGATCTGGAAGTAGTCCATGCCAACTCAGATGTTGGCTGAGATCAAGTTCCCTATTCCCAGAAGAAACTCTTTTGGGACCACAGGGCAAGTGTGGGCAAGAAGATTGGTTATGGAAGAAGTTCCTGCTCACCCAGGGTTGCTAGGGACCCACTCCTGAAATTCTAAGTCATTTCATTGAAGTCTTGAGATAAGAGATTTGTGTACCTATTGCCTGAGTCAAAATGAAACAACTCCAACCACTTGGAAAGAAGGGGCTATAAAAAGAGGGGTGAGGGTACAGATTGACCATGCTTCTGGTTGCCAGGAAAGTGTGCAGCACAAAATAGAATCAATTCTTATTGCCACCCACTAGTGTTCTTGTGTTGTCAGGCCACAGTCTCAACAGAATTGTGCTTGGCAAACGTTCAAGATGGTCATGCTGCATCAGGCGAACTGGCTGTCCCCCTGTCTATTTCTTCTCTTAACTGATTTTGTTCACCTTTTTCACCTTGTCAGTTGTTGTCAGGTGTCATCGAGTCGGAACCGACTCATAGCGACTCCATGCACAGCAGAACGAAACAATGTTCGATCCTGGGCCAACCTCACTACCGCTGCCACACTTGAGTCCATCAATGATGCCACCTGGCTGATCCATCTCGTTGGGGGTCTTCCTCTTTTTCTCTAACCCTCCACCCTACCCAGCATGACATCCTTCTCCAACAATTGTTTCCTCTGGACAATATGTCCAAAGTAGGAGAGACGAAGCTTAGCCATCCTGGCCTCCAAGGAGCACTCTGGCTGCACAAAAAGAAAATGGTAGAGGAAGCAAACAGTAGGCAACAGCAAGAAAGAATATAATATTTTTTCACCCAGTTAATATTAAATACACTGTGTAATCCTTTCCTCTGACTCAGAATTCCAGAATTTTCATCTGTATCTGTTTAATTTGGCCTTTCCTATCTTTGTTGTAAGGATCACTGGTGGCACTATAGTATTAACACGGCACTGCTAATTGCAAGGTTGGTAACTCACACCCACCAGCTGCTCCTCAGGAAAAGTAGAACTCTGTCTGCCCACATAAAAATTTTCAGTCTTGGAAACCATACAAAGGGTAGTTCTCTTTGGAGGGCAGGATGGTCAAACTTCATCTCTCATACTTCGGACATATTGTCAGGAGGGACCAGTCACTGGAGAAGAATAGCATGTTTTGTAAGGTGGAGGGTCAGAGAAAAAGAGGAAGACCCCCAACGAGATGGATTGGCCAAGTAGCAGCATCAATGGACTCAAGTGTGGCAACAGTAGTGAGGTTGGCCCAAGATCAGGCAGTGTTTCGTTCTACTGTGCATAAGGTCGTTATGGGTCGGTACTGACTCAATGGCACCTAACAACACAACAACATGCAGAATTGACTCAATGGTAGTGGGTTTCTTGGATTGGGATCTTTGTTGTAGATAATATGTGTAGGGTCAACCTGTTCTGCCATTTTACCAGAAATCTTTGTTGTTTGATTTCTTAACTGTTGCTTCCATGAGGATAGATTGTGGATCCAACTAATAAGAAAATGTTACAACTTGATTATTTTGTCATTTATCATAGTGTTATTTAATGATTCAGTAGTGAGGATTTTGTTTTGTTTTATGTTGATTTGTATCCAAACTGAAGATTGTATTATTTGAAATTCAACAGTATATCTTTGTCACTCATACTTTGAGTGCCTTCCAACCTGAGAGGCTTGTCTTTTGACACTATATCAGATGATGTTCCAATGCTATTCATAATGGTTTATGTGGCTAATTTTTTTTTCAGAAGTGGTCCACATGTTCCTTCATCTTGCTTCATCTTAGTCTACAAACTCTGCTGAAACCTGTTCATCATGGGTGCTTATGCTGGTATTTGAAATATGGTGGCATAGCTCCCAGCATCATAACAACACACAAGTCAATAATAGGAAGCATTTGTTGAATGAAGTAAACAAAGTTTCAAGGAATTCACAGAAAGATATTTTGTTTTAACAAAATGTTAGGGATTAGGAATAAGGAATGCTAGTCAGTTTCAGCATCAAGAAGATTGACTATTCAGGGTTCCATGAAATTCTCACCTAAAGGTTTTTAGATCTATAGATATTATATGTTGTTGTTGTTAAGGGTCAATGAATGACTTCTGATTCTTATCAACCTGTACAGGGTTTCCAAGGAGCAGCTAGTGGGTTTGAACTGCTGACTTTGTGGTTAGCAGTCCAGTGCTTCTCCTTTAACACCATACCAGGACACTCAATATTATATAGGAATTAATTAATAAACATATTTAAAATATAAAAACAGCACATCAATTACATTTTTGTTCATTGACTTTGGCCACATTTGTATTGTTCTTTTTACTTTTTCATGTTTTATCAGATACATGAAACCAGAAAACCAAACACAGATTTCTCAGTTTATCCTATTGGGGCTTTCAGAAGAGGCAGAGATACAGCCCCTCCTCTTTGGACTGTTCCTCTCCATGTACCTGGTCACCTTCACTGGGAACCTGCTCATCATCCTGGCCATCATCAAGAACTCCCACCTCCACACACCCATGTACTTCTTCCTCTCCAACCTCTCGTTTGCAGACATTTGTTTCACCTCCACCACTGTCCCAAAGATGCTGCTGAACATTCAGATGCAAAATAAAGTGATAACCTATGAAGAATGCATCAGTCAGATTTTTTTTTTCATGATTTTTGGAGGATTAGACCATTTTCTCTTGACAGTGATGGCATACGACCGATTTGTGGCAATCTGTCACCCGTTACACTACACAATTATCATGAATCACAAGTTCTGTTGCCTCCTGCTTCTGGCCTCCTGGTTATTACTTGTTCTGGACTCTCTATTACATGTCTTAATGATTTTACGACTATCTTTTTGTACAGAATTAGAAATCTCCCACTTTTTCTGTGAATTTAATCAAGTAATCCAACTTGCTTGTTCCGACACTTTCCTCAATGCCTTGGTGATGTATTTTGCAACTGGACTTTTGGGTATTATTCCACTTTCTGGGATACTTTTCTCTTACAGTAAGATTGTATCTTCCATTTTGAAAATTTCATCAGCTGATGGCAAGTATAAAGCCTTTTCCACTTGTGGGTCTCACCTCTCAGTTGTTTCCTTGTTCTATGGTACATCTCTTGGAGTTTATCTTAGTTCTGCTGCTACCCCAAACTCCAGGGCCCCTGCAATAGTCTCAGTGATGTACACTGTGGTCACCCCCATGCTAAACCCCTTTATCTACAGTCTTAGAAATAATGACATAAAGCAGGGCCTAAGAACACTTCTCAACTGAGTAAGATTCTCTACATTGCAGAACATTTCCTTTTATTTCTTTAGAGTAGAGAGTTATTTATGAGCAAAATAGCTCAAAAGCATGAAGATTGAAATCATACTTTCATCAGTATGGTGCATATATCTGCATTATTACCAGAATTTAATCTCCTTTAATTTCTATAAGTAATTTATTCTTTTCCATTTCTTTCAAAAAACTTTTTTTTTTAACAAAAGCTACCCTGCAACATGCAATTTCTTCATATTAGCTGCAGATGATTCCCTAAGACAGATCTTCCAAGATCCTCCAGTGCAATCTATGGAGTGCCATCATTGAATTTTCCTATTGGAACAACATCATTATTGTCCTCAAATCCAAAAATTGAGATATTATTTTCCAGAATCTATTTTGCAGTCTGTTTCTTGTGATCAGTTCTGGCATGTAATATTTGATCTCTCTGAGTTATTTTCTTTAAACTGAAGTGTTATTACATATTGAAACAAAAATTTTGTTAGCATGTACTTATTAAATTGTGAAATGAGCTGACTGTATGTTCTTCAAATATTGAAAATGACTCCCAGAATAGCAGTGAAAACCAGACATGCTCAGAACACTGATATCTTTTCTATCATCAAAAATGTGGTAGAATCAAGAAAACGCCACTGAAAATATTGGTTCCAGGAACATGACACATTTTCTGCAATCCAGATAGAAGGAATATTTTGCTATATATGTTAGTTCAATACTTGGTGTGTCAGCTAGAGCTGGACTTGTTTAACAAAAGGTAGGCACATAACTCCTGCATATCCTTGACACTGCTAACCTGGAATTTTGCCTTGATTTATTCTAAATAACCCAATGCTCTTCAAATATTCTTGGTCACTTAATTGATTAGAACAGAGCAACTGACACACTCTGCCCTCTGATACTCTCTTGTACTTCTGGCCCATATCTTGTAGTTGCTGTTGTTAGGTGCCATTGAGTCAGCACTGACTCACAACAACCCTACGTACTACAGAACTAAACACGGCACGATCCATGTCATCTTGTGATCATTGCTACGCCTGAGCCCGTTTCTGCCACCACGGTGTCAATCAATCTCATTGGGGTTCTTTCTCTTTTCCTCTGACCCTCCATCTTACCAAACATGATATCTCTCTCCAGGGACTGGTCCCTACTGAAAATATGTTTGAAGTATGAGAGATGAAATCTGGCCATCCTGGCTTCAAAGAGCATTCTGGCTGTACTTCTTCCAAAAAAGATCTATTTGTTCATTTGGCAGTCCATGGTACTTTCAATATTCTCATCCAATACCATAACTCAAATACATCAATTCTTCTACAGTCTTCTTTATTCATTGTCCAACTTTCGCATGCATATGAGTTTATTGAAAATACTATGGCTTGAATCTGGCCCACCTTAGTTGTCAAAATGATATCTGTACTCTTCAACACTTTAAAAAGGTCTTGTGCAGCATATTTGCCCAATGCAATGCTTCATTTGATTTCTTGACTATTGCTTCCATGAGTGTTGATTGTTGATCCAAGAAAAATGAAGTCTTTGACAGCTTCAGTCTTTTCTCCATTGTTAAGAATTGTATTTATTGGTCTAGTAATGAGAATTTTAATTTTCTTTACATTGAGGTGCAACCCATACTGAAGGCTGTGGTCTTTGATCTTCATCAAAAAGTATTTTAAGACCTCTTGGCTTTCAGCATCTGCATATTGCAGGTTGTTAATGAGTCATACACCAATTCTGATGCCATGTTTTTCTTTATATAACCCAGCTTCTTGGATTATTTGTGTAGCATAAAGATTGAGTAAGTGTGGTGAAAGAATACAAGCCTGGTGCACAGTTTTCCTAATTTTGAATCATGTAGGGTTCCCTTGTTTTGTTCCATATCTTATTAATCACATTAAAACTTTTGGGTTCAGTGTTCTAAGAAATATAGTTTCACACTTATCATTCTCTGTAGTACAAGTAAGCCACCCTAAAGAAGAGGAATAGATGCTGCATACCAGCCCATTCTATTTCTACGATGATAAGATATGCACTCAATCCAAAACCCAAATACTGTTGAGTCGATTCCAACTCATAGCAACCCTATAGGAGAGAATAGAATTAGCCCCTAGAGGAGCCAAATTTGTAAACATATTACAAGTGGAGAATGAATCTCTGTGTGGTTGAATCATAATGCAACTAAAAATTCACTGAGTAATGAGACAAACTTCACATTCAAAAACATTATTCTAATTAATTATTTAATACCTCTGTGAAATTGGCATCATGTTATAGGCAAAATGAATATGAGTCTTACAGCAGTGATTTTGTATGTCCAAGGCCAGTAGTGAAGTCTGTAAACCTTTTCAGATGCAGACTTTCACTTTTTTCTCCTATGAACTGGCTAGTGGAGTTGAACTGTTGACATTTTGGTTAGCAGCTTAGGGCTTTAACTTCTGTTCCACCAATAGGATGTCAAACTTCCTAATACTCTTATATGCTTTAGGAAAGGATGATTGTATCTCTTTCAAAGGTCCCTAAGTCTTTTTCCTGTCTCAATTCTAATATACACAGGTTGCTCTTAATTAAGTCATAAAGGACGATTTATAGACAATAAAATAAGTGAATGATAGAGTGTGTTATAACTCAACCATATATCCTTAGATCTTTCCTGACGTTTTCTTTTTTTAACAAATTATATATGGCAAAGTTGTTGTTCTTGTTGTTAGGTGCCATTGAGT